CATGAAACATGATTTATAGTTTCATACGTTGTGTCTGATCAAATTGCTGTGTCACGCAGCGATGCAAGATATCAACAGTTAAAAGCCTTCAGCAGCCAGGATATGTGACAGCTCAAGGGCGAAACAGTGCCAGTGACAATAGTGGCTTCGTGTTCAAGTGGTGCACCATCTCAGGGCCTCAAGCAACTTACTTGGGGAGGGCATGGAAACACTACTCGAGGGTGATATTTTACCAGACCTTCATGTCGGACATCATTGTTCCAGCAGGATGGTATATTTGGAATTCTAAAGGTTACGAGTAAGTAAATGAATGGTATTTCTATGTTCATTTTTTATTTATCGAAAAAGATGATATATTAGTAAGTTTATCACAAGAAAAAAAAAGATCTTGTGCACGAGACTTACGACATTATTTTCCGATGTTACTAATTGCAATTTTTTACTGTTGATCTGAATTCATCTGTTTTTAAAAAGAGGATGATCCAGAGACTTACGACATCATCTTTTTTTGTACTTCAGAGGTGTTGTAACGTTTGCTGAATCGGGATGCATAGGACCAGGATCAGACCTCTCAGGTAGAGTGAAGTGGGAGAAGCAGGTGAGTAATTATGAGCTAAGGAAGTTAATTGATATTTCATATATTGATGGGAAAGGATGGCTCGAGGCACAGCCTCCACTTGATTAGGGTGCACACATCTCGTTGCCCCTTGTCACTAATGCCAACTGACGGTGGCTTCTATCCCATCCATTATTGCAGTTGCAATTTCCACTGTGTTTGATTGAGGGTTTGCCTTTGTTGTTCTTCGAAGCTGATAAATAGGAAAATTTCTGGCTTTCTTGATCTTTTTCCAACGTGAGTTGCTGCTGTTTGAAATGGAGTAAGACATTTGCGAGTTATGATTTAGCAACACATAATGATAAAGCTGAAAAGTCTTAGTTACTTGAAATACATAAATCTTTATCTATAGTTACTAATAATAAATACTCAGATTTATAAATTATCAAGCACTCATATTTTGCCACCATCCAACATCATATACCATCTTAGACGATACGATTCCTCATTTTATCGCTTACCGAAGCTAACACAACATTAAACACTCAAATCTATTGTATAAAATATTTTTGGGAAGCACTTATTGTAGTTGAAGTAACATTACAACCTTTATTTAGCTTTATGCTCTACGAAACATTATTTCTTGTAATCAGCTTAGGATGTTTTTCTTGTCAGCTTATAGACAATACCTCTTCAACTAGTTACCCATCTTATATCACCCATAACTATTTTATTTTTGAAAATACTCTTGTCTCCATTAAATTTACGGTCCAAACTCCTCTCAAACTCATATCCACAAATTATATATCTTATTATACTCAATTTTTTTTAATCAATTATAATCTTATGAATTATGTAGAAAGCACCATCACTTACCTTCTGCAAATGATTAAATAGAATAATCTTGAAGTTGTTAATTCTAAATATATATTTTTTGGATCCGTCAAGTTTATCTTCTTAAAACTCAAGCTAATGTACTTTGCTATGGCTGATGCTTCTTGATGATAAAGAGATCATTTTTCATGCATTAAATGGTTTGGTTCAAATTTTAAGGAAATCTTGGCTGCGATTTATGCTCATAGTAGTCCTAAATCTTTTGAAGAATTTTATGATAAGTTTTTTGACTATAAAGCTTATCTTAAGTGAGTCACTACCTTCTGATATTATTTCTATCATTTTCAATTTTGCTAATAAAACTAATTTTTATAATAAAGATAAAATTCATAACCAGTAAGATAATCATCCAAACAATCATTTTAGAGGCAACATGCAACAACGTTACAATAAAGTATCAACAAATCTGGTCAATAATTCAGCAACAAAGTCACATGTCAAATATATGACTTGCAAGGCTATATTGCTAAGAAATGTTATTGCTTGTAAGTTGCTATTCCATAGATGTTTCAACCTTCATACCTATCTTATTATACATATCTTGTCGCACCAGCTACTTAGTTTTCATTTCATAAACTACATGTGGTTATTTCTCATGAAGCAAAAATATGAAGTATTCATCATTTTTTTAAAGTTTAAGCTTATTGTTGAAAAGTTTTTTCAATGATTCATTATTTCATTTTACTCTTAAACTTTGTAACTTTTTTGAAACAATGGAATTGCTTATTTTCTCACCTCTCCACATACTCCTAAATATAATAAGACCACGGAATGTCACCATCATCACATCATTCAAACTGGTTTCATACTCCTTACTCAACCTTCCTTACCTCTTCAATTTTAGTCTCATTCATTTGTCACATCAATTTAACTTACTAATCGCATGCTCACTTTAATTCTAAACATGGTTTCACCATATAAAATTTATTTGGATCCACTCATAATTATAGTAAATTATATATTTTTGGGTGTCTATATTATCCATAGTTAAAACCTTATACCCATAACAAACTAGAAGTTTGATCAAAACCATATGCCTTTCTCTGAAAAGACTAGCCTCTATCGCTTCATGCATTTTCGGATGCCGATTAAATAGGTAATAAGGATGATAGGATATCTACTAGTGCTTATAACGTATTTTTTGGTCACAATATAATCTCTTAGAGTTCCAAGAAACAATGCTTTGTTGTAAAATCTTATACGGAGGCCGAATATCAAGGGGTTGCTTCTATAATTGCTAAACTTTGTTGGATTCAATCGTTGCTATATGAACTATTTGTTACAGAAACTCTATTTATATATTGTGATAATATCGGTGCAACATATGTATATGTTAATCTTGTATTTCACCATTGAAAGAAGCACATAGCTATTGACTTTCATTTTGTTCCTGACAATGCCCAAAATGGTGAGCTATGTGTCTCTCATATCTCATCTTCTGATCAACTTATAGATGTTCTTACCAAACCTTTGTCTCACCAATAATTTTTTATACTTCGGTCTAAGATCAGTGTATCTAATGGGAGCATCGTCTTGTATGGGCATATTAGAAAAGATATTATTGAAAAAAATAAATCATGATAAGATTATCATGATCCTCTTAATATTTTAATAATATGTTATCATGATTCTAAAATATAAAATTTATGATAATATATTATCATGATTCTATCAATAATAAAGATCGTGATCTCAACATGATATTCTAATCATGAAATAATTTAATGAATGTTTTATAATTAAAAAAAATATGATTATCATATTTTATGATCTTTATTTATGCATATAAATTTATATTCACTATCAATAAGATTCAGCAAGTCATTATTTATCATATCTTTACTAAATACAATGATTCTGTTTTCAAATTAATCTTTACTAAATACAGTGATTCTGTTTTCACATACAATGTTCTATTCTCCAAAATGAAGAACTCATAGCAGTATGTGCTTATCCAGAAGACTTACGGTAAAGAATTGCATGCAACAAACGGAGAAAGGCTTCACGATCATCGTACAAAACACTGATGCCATTTATCGAAATGCTAAGATTTATATTTCCTCATTCCTTATATCACAAACAAACAGTAGGTCAAACATAATGTTGTCCCTTATCTTTTAATCAGTCTTATTAGTCCAGCCATAGTGGCTGGAATAATTTTTAGATTTATTCTATATTTGATAATGCATTGATCTGCTGTATTTACTTTACTCTTTTCGCAGGTTATTAATTTTTGTTATAAAGCAAGACTGCAGATGGAGTAGGACAAATGTACATCCAGGTCCTATCCTTATCTCAATTAGGAGCATCAAATATCACCGAAAATATTACTCAAAGGGTTCAAATTGCCCTAAAAAAGGGGAGGCTCATATGATAGGATGGATAATGGGTAAATATGAGAGCTTCATTAGTCTTTTAGAGACTATAAATGTAATTAGCAAATTTAAGGTAGCCGATTCATTTTATTAATTCAGTCACAACCCACCTCTAAGAAGCAACTTCTTAGGTTTTTTTTTTTTTTTTTTGGGGAATCATTACATGTGGTTTGATTTTTGTGCATCGATCTCTGTAATAGGACAGAATCGATCTCGTCTACTGTCAGTTGACACAGTTGCTACGTGAGATCTAAGTCATTCTTTACCTATTTGCCTATGTGAATAACGATTCAAAGTAAGAGAATATTATGATAAGAAAGATAATCACAAGTTTCTTTCTCATCCATTATTATTATTATAAGAAAAAGTTTCTTTTTTGTCAAAAAGAAAATTATAACTTTCTTTCTCATCCATTATGTTAAGGAAACAATTAACTAATGTAAGGGACTCCTTTTGAACTACTCAAACTCATATTTGAGAATATCATATTATTAATTTAAGTGTTAGAGAGATCGGATGAAAAAATATCTTCCAACCTCAATTTTTATATAGGTGACACCTCCGAAACACGTTATTTCCAACATATCAAACATTCCGGCACATATAGGTGTTGATCCCGTCAAGCTAATCAAAATGTCAACGATATTTTTTATTATATATATCACATAAATATCTTTGAAATAATCTCAAGTTAACTACTGCAAAATACTAATCATACTTACCACAGAATCTGAAAAGAAAAAGAAAACAAATTTTCTCTATTACTTCCATGAATTATTTAAAGACACTACTAACATCAATTTGCTTTTCAATGTACGGATATTAACTCTAATTTTATTATATGTGCAGATTCTTCAGCTTTGCAACATGCAAATTTTCTCCTAACATAAAGAATTGAAAACTCTTTTATCCTTACAAAAACTCACTTGGCTACATTTATGCAACAAATGCGTCAAATGGAATCCAAACTCTCTTTCCTCTGTCAAGATAGAGTTCAGGTTTTTCGTTGCAGCGAAAATGCCAAATCTGAAGAAGAACAACAGAAAGTTTTGTACAACCGTCTCACTCCCACTGTATAATCTCTATCTATATATATACCACACTAGGTAGCATTCCCTTCCACTGCCGATCCATTTCTCCCAAGCCTTTCATATACGTGTTTCCACATGCTCCAAATGAGGTGGCTCGTCCTCTTCCTCTCCGTCTTTTCCTCCATAACACTTCGTGCTCCTGTGGCCATTGCATCTGCCTCCATCGCGAGAACCATCGTCGTCGACCTCAAGGGCGGTGGCAATTTCAAGAGCATTCAGCAGGCGATCGACTCCGTCCCTGACAACAACAACAATTGGACGAAGATTCACGTCGCTTCTGGCGTCTACAGGTAGGTTCTCCTTCCCCTGCTTTATAACTTGAAACTTGAAAGAGCTGGTCGTTCATGCGGTGGTGTAAGCAGGGAGAAGGTGAACGTGAGGAACACCAAGAGTTACATCGTGCTGGAAGGAGATGGAGCTCAGACGACGTCCATCGAGTGGGGAGACTACAACGGCGACTCCAGTGGCCATGACACTGAAACCAGTGCAACCTTCACGTCATATGCCTCCAACTTTGTTGCCAAGAGGATAACCTTCAAGGTTTCACTGATCTATAGCTCACAGTCCCTTGGCCGACTAGCTAAAACAGCCATACAAATCTATCTATATACTGTTCATGGCCGTGAATGCGATCTTATCATTCTACTGTAATAATCTTCAAAATAGGTTTATGTGCATGAATTAGGAGTTCAAACAAACGATTTGATGAGTCTATATTTGATGCAGAATACGTACAATGGATTCGCCAAATTGACCCCCGCTGTGGCCGCTTGGATTTTTGGAGACAAGTCTGCCTTCTACTATTGCAGCTTCATTGGGTTTCAAGACACTCTCGCTGATACGCTTGGAAGACACTACTTCAAGGGTTGCTACATCGAAGGTGTGACCGACTTCATCTTCGGATATGGCCAATCTATTTACGAGGTATCATTTTGATAATTTTATATCATGTCTAAGTTACATCGATCCGACTCGACATGCAAATATAAATAATGCATGTCCTAATGATACTTACTCTCTGTACATACTCTCCTAGTTATCTCATTTAATAATAATTGCTTGTATAAGCCTCTTTTATCTTCAATTTATTCCTTCTATTGTGTACTTTTCAGATTGAAATATGTTGGTATTATATCTATTAAATTTGGAAGTTTTGACCTACAAATTTCGAAAATAGCTCTTTAAATCGACCTACTAATCAAATAAAACATGCATGAAACATGATTTATAGTTTCATATTTTGTGTCTGATCAAATTGTTGTGGGTCACGCAGCGATGCAAGATATCAACAGTTAAAAGCCTTGAGAAGCCAGGATATGTGACGGCTCAAGGGCGAAACACTACTCGAGGGTGATATTTTACCAGACCTTCATGTCGGACATCATTGTTCCAGCAGGATGGTATATTTGGAATTCTAAAGGTTACGAGTAAGTAAATGAATGGTATTTCTATGTTCAATTTTTATTTATCGAAAAAGATGATATATTAGTAAGTTTATCGCAAGAAAAAAAAAGATCTAGTGCACGAGACTTACGACATTATTTTCCGATGTTACTAATTGCAATTTTTTACTGTTGATCTGAATTTATCTGTTTTTAAAAAGAGGATGATCCAGAGACTTACGACATCATCTTTTTTTGTACATCAGAGGCGTTGTAACGTTTGCTGAATCGGGATGCATAGGACCAGGATCAGACCTCTCAGGTAGAGTGAAGTGGGAGAAGCAGGTGAGTAATTATGAGCTGAAGAAGTTCATTGATATTTCATATATTGATGGGGAAGGATGGCTCGAGGCACAGCCTCCACTTGATTAGGGTGCACACATCTCGTTGCCCCTTATCACTAATGCCAACTGACGGTGGCTTCTATCCCATCCATTATTGCAGTTGCAATTTCCACTGTGTTTGATTGAGGGTTTGCCTTTGTTGTTCTTAGAAGCTGATAAATAAGAAAATTTCTGGCTTTCTTGATTTTTTCCAACGTGAGTTGCTGCTGTTTGAGATGGAGTAAGACATTTGCGAGTTATGGTTTAACAACAACAATAATAATAAAGCTGAAAAGTCTTAGTTACTTGAAATACATTAATATTTTATCATCATCAAACTCTGCAAAATTATAGTATTTTATTATATAAATCTTAATTTATAGTTTCTAAAAATAAATACTCAGATTTATAAAATATCAAACACTCAGATTATGCCATCATCCAACATCATATACCATCTTGGACATACGATTCCTCATTTTATCGCTTACCGAAGCTAACACAACATTAAACACTCAAATCTATTGTATAAAACATTGCTAGTGAGCACTTTCCTCTGGTTGAAGGTAACATTACAACCTTTATTTAGCTTTATGCTCTAGCAAACTTTATTTATTGTAATTAGCTTCGAATCTTTTTCTTCTCTACTTTTAGACATGGCCGATAATATCTTTTCAACTAGTCACTCATCTCATATCACCCATAACTCTTTTATTCTTGAAAATACTCTTGTCTCCATTAACATTACCGTCCAAGCTAGTCTCAAACTCACATCCACAAATTAGACATCTTATTATACTCAATTTTATTTTTATTTTTTTTAATCGATTATAATCTTATGAATTATGTAGAAAGCATTATCGCTTGCCTTCTGCAAATGATTAAATAGAATAATCTTAAAGTTGTTAATCCTAAATATATTTTTTGGATCCATCAAAGTTTATCTTCTTAGAAGTGCTATCATTCTCTCTCTCTCTCTCTCTCTCCTTAAATCATTCTCTATGTAGCTCTATAAAATTTTCTGTGGTCCAAGCTTACAATAATGTATGCTAATCAATCTCATGGTCACCTCATGCAACTTCGAGAAACTCTCTTTAAACTTTCTAATGGTATAAAATCTATTTTTGACTACATACATACTATTAAAACTCAAGCTAATGTACTTTGCTATGGCTAATGTACCTCTTGATGATGAAGAGATCATTTTTCATATGTTAAAAGGTTTTGGTTTAAACTATAACGAGATCTTGGCCGCCATTCATGCTCGTGATAGTCCTATATCTTTCAAAAAATTTCATGATAAATTTTATGACTATGAAGCTTATATAAAGCGAGATTCACTACCTTCTCATACTACTTCTATCATTGTCAATTTTACTAATAAAGGTAATTCTAGCAACAAAAACAAGATTCATGATCAGTAAGACAAACGTCCAAACAATTATTTTAGAGGCAACATGCAATAATGTTACAACAAAAGTATTAACAAATCTGGTTAATAATTCAATAACAAAATCACATGTCAAATATATGACTTGCAAGGCTATATTTCTAAGAAATGTCTTCACTCGCAAGTTGCTATTCCATAGATGTTTCAACCTTCATACTCATCTTATTATACATATCTTGTTGCACCATTTACTCGGTTTTCATTTCATAAAGTACATAGGGTTATTTCCTATGAAGTAAAAATATGAAGTATTCATTATTTTTTAAAAGTTTAAGCTTATTGTTGAAAAGCTCTTTCAACGATTTATTATTTCATTTTACTCTAATAATAGTGGTTAATTTTAAAAACTTAGTAACTTTTTTAAAACCAATGGAATCTCTCATTTTCTCACTCCTCCAAATACTCCTAAATATAATGAGACTGTGGAATATCACCATCATCACATCATTCAAACTGGTTTCATACTCCTTACTCAACCTTCCTTACCTCTTCAATTTTAGTCTCATTCATTTGTCACATCAATTTAACTTACTAATGGCATGCTCACTTTAATTCTAAACATGGTTTCACCATTTGAAAATTTATTTGGATCCACTCATAATTATAGTAAATTATATATTTTTGGGTGTCTATATTATACCCATAACAAACTAGAAGCCTGATCAAAACCATGTGCCTTTCTCTGAAAAGACTATCCTTTATCGCTTCATGCATTTTCGGAAGTCGATTAAGTAGGTAATAAGGATGATAGAATACCTACTAGTGCTTATATCGTATTTCTTGGTCATAATCTAATCTCTTAGAGTTCCAAGAAATAATGCTTTGTTGTAAAATCTTTTACGAATATCAAGGTTGCTTCTATAATTGCTAAACTTTATTAGATTCAATCGTTGCTATATAAATTATTTGTCATAATCTCTGAAACTCCATCTATATATTATAATAATATCAGCGCAAGATATCTATATGTTAATCTTGTATTTCACCATCGAATGAAGCACATAGCTATCGACTTTTATTTTGTTTATGACAATGCTTAAAATAGTGAGCTACATATCTCTCATGTCTCATCTTCTAATTAACTTATAGATACTCTTACGAAGCCTTTGTCTTACTAATAATTTCTTCTATTTCGGTCCAAGATCAGTGTATCTAATGGGAGCACCATCTTATAGGGGCATATTGGGAAAGATATTACTGAGAAAAATAAATCATGATAAGATTATCATGATCCTCTTAATATATTGATACTATGTTATCACGATTCTAAAATATAAAATTTATGATAATATATTATTATGATTCTATCAATAATAAAGATCATGATCTCCTAAAATAATTCAATGAATATTTTATATTTATTAATAATAAAAAAATAATTATTATATTTTATGATGCATATAAATTTATATTCACTATTCAGCAAGTCATTATTTCTCATTAGAGAACATCATATCTTTACTAAATACAGTGATTCTGTTTTCACATACAATGTTCTATTCTCCAAAATAAAGAACTCATAGCAGCATGTGTTTATCCAGAAGACTTACGGTAAAGAATTGCATGCAACAAACGGAGAGAGGCTTCACGATCATCGTACAAAACAATGATGCCATTTATAGAAATGCTAAGATTTATATTTCCTCATTCCTTATATCACAAACAAACAATAGGTCAAACATAATGTTGTCCCTTATCTTTTAATCTGCCTTATTAGTCCAGCCATAGTGGCTGGAATAATTTTTAGATTTATTCTATATTTGATAATGCATTGATCTTCTGTACATACTTTACTCTTTTCGCAGGTTATTAATTTTTGTTATAAAGCAAGACTGCAGATGGAGTAGGACAAATGTACATCCAGGTCCTATCCTTATCTCAATTAGGAGCATCAAATATCACCGAAAATATTACTCAAAGGGTTCAAATTGCCCTAAAAAATGGGAGGCTCATATGATAGGATGGATAATGGGTAAATATGAGAGCTTCAGTAGTCTTTTAGAGACTAGAAATGTAATTAGAAAATTTAAGGTGGCCGATTCATTTTATTAATTCAGTCACAACCCACCTCTAGGAATCATTCCATGTGGTTTGGTTTTTGTGCATCGATCTCGTCTAGAACGGTGAGTTGAATAGGACAGAATGGATCTTTATAGGGGGTGGAAAGAAACGTTAGGCTAAAATTTGGAGGGTAATTGAAGCCAAAATAAATAAATTAGAAAGCAATGTTAGGGTAATTGAACGTAATAAGAATCTAAAACTTTCTCCTTTAGTGGAAATGTCAAATCTAATGAGAGAATGAATAGGTAACAATTTGATGGAAATAAAACCCAACCAGCAAGATATGATCTAGAACGCTTCTATGTCTAATAAACTAAATGATATGTTTCGAACCCTTCTTGCAAAAAATACCGAAGCATGTCTTTGGGAGGAACAAATGATAGAGAATCTATTATCACGCATAGTTATCACGTGAGATCCAAGTCATTCTCCACCTATTGAACTATGTAGACAATAATTCAAAGTAAGGGAACACAAGCCTTGTCCATTATGATAAGAAAGATAATCAGAAGCTTCTTTCTCATCCATTATGATGAGAAAAGTAATCACAAACTCCTTCTTATTTTATATGGTAAGATCTTGAATCTAACCAATGTAAGGGGATTTCTTTTGAACTACTCAAATCCACATTTGATAATATCAAATTATTAACTTAAGCGTTAGAGAGATCGGATAAAAAAACTCTCCCAACTTTAATTTTCGTATAGGTGACACCACGAAGCATGGTATTTCTAACATCTCAAACATTACGGCACACGTAGGTGTTGATATTTTTTATTATATATATATATATATATATATATATATATATATATATA